ATCTTCCGAAACGTCCGTGTGTGTCCTAACACCAGAAACTGGCATTTTAAAGGTTAAAAACAAGACGTTGCGAATATGAGACGCACACTTTCATGCAAAGCTGATGTCGAGTGACTCAAATCGAAAAACATGCATTTTTACAATATTATTTGTATCTCTTCTTGTGAAGCAGCAACCGTTGCCTTCGTTTTCGCGCACAAAACAGTGACTCCCAGGGACAGCAAGAATGCAGCGTTATTGCCTTCATTTGAACAATGTACTACACCAAGGAGGTTGATGTTACACACACATGCAGGCGCGCACTGATGATGCCTCAAAACCGAAACTCTCGTAGCGTGATTCGTGACTGCGCCACGCTCGCTTCTACCCAACCTCGTTGTCACGCCACTTCTGCAAGGAGTCACTCAAATTGCTAGTAAACACACAAAAACGACACCAATACAACTATCTTGTAGAATATCACCTTATTTAGTAATAACTAAGTGAATATGCATTACATGTTGCATTTAAGTTAAGAAAAAAGAAACAAAACCTTTTTTCGCCACAAAAAACGAAATATCAACGTTAAATGTGGTAACAATGTATTTTTGCCGAATCTTTGCCGAATCTTTAGAAAAGTTTGGCAAAAGTTCGGCTTTGCCGAATCCCAAGATTCAACGCCGAACTTTCGATTTGGCAAAAGTTTGGCCCATCACTAATCAAAAGTGTAAGCAAAACACGACCACTGAAGAAAAATATGTTTGTGTATACTGTAATTGACCTCATTTTTGCAAGGACCTAATTTTCGAGAATTTCGCGAATCGTCTACAATTTGCGAAAAATAGGTCCCGCGAACAATTCTGGTAAAATGTAAACACACTGGAATCAAGGTTGAGATCCCACTGCATTGCGAAAATTAAAACCCGCAAATTATTCCAAAATTTCAGGTTTGACCTAAATCACGATATAATGAGTCCGCAAAAAATAGGTCATTTACAGTATGTTGTGGGTTAAACTGACCGATGCCGGGAGTAAACTGGGTAGCACTTGATTAAATTGGATGGTGCATGAATTAAATTGGAAGGCACTTGGATTAAACTGACCGTCGTTGGGTTTAAAATGAGCGAGAAAGCCTGTAGAAACAAGCTGTTAATGGCCCTCACAACAGGCTCAAATCAGTTATTGCATCAACCAAGTGGAAACTTCAGGAGGAAATATGGCCTTCAGAACAAACTGAAGCAAGAACTGCTGGAATTGGTGATGGAAGTGGCATTTGTCCTTTTCTAGCAGGTCTTGTAGCAGGCAAAATAATGGTTTGGAACCACTGATACTTTTGTTGCAGGCACCAATGTATGTGTTCGCAAGCTACTTAAAATTACTTAATAAAGCTCATAGAATAAAGCCCATCTTTGATGATGATTTATTGTTCATTTCGTACATACAAACTTTTTTTTTTAATATGAATGCTTAAAAGTAGCAAAAAAACAGCTTTTATGAGGGAAGGCTTAGGTCAAAATTGGTTCTGTTTACATTAGGTATCAAAAAAAAAAATGTTGAAATGTCCACTCCTCAGACATAAAGATCTCTTTCATGTGGACCAATGAAACAGTTGGTTCAGATGAAGCATCTGCTTCCTCCCTCCAATACCCTTCTTGTAATATTACAGCAAAAACCAGCATATTCCCTAAAATGTGGATAGGCGAAAATACATTTGCCTAGTTTATATGATGTAAACTGCAAGAACAACCATAACAATAAGTGTGAAAACTTATATACATTCTTTTGAACCAAGATTGCACATTACTCAGCAGCATTAGCAGTGTTGGAGCCCAGATGAGCCAGACTTCAGTGACCTGTTGAACTAAGTTGACTACCTCGTTTATTAAAATATAGATCTACATTTTTTTCTCGGCTTTTGTAAAAACGTTTTAACTGTCAGCCTACCTATATTACTATTAGGCATAATTTTCTAGTCCATCGAGATAATGCAAATGCTTTCCCACATCAGCCACTGCTCCTAGCACGCCAGTATAAAGCAGTTTACCCTTGATGAAAGCAGTGTGGCGCAAGTCTTTCCGTCCTCAACACCTGCACATACCACTAGCTTGATTTGACCGGTCTGCTTACTTTCAGACTAAACTGACGGGAAATATTCAAATTTTAGGTTACAATTGCAGCAAGTGCGGTACCGCGCACACTCCCATATAAGGACCTTTTTTTCCTGTTTTTGCTTCACTCAAGCTCATCTTAATGCAACAGTGGCACTTCACAAAAATGCTATTTTAGCACGACATGTAGCAGTTCATGGTTCAGTCAGGCGCAAATGGAGCATTCATCACTGTGGAATAGAGACCATGCAATGGAGATCACCCAGATACACCGCACAACCTGATGCGTAACTTCCGCAATGATGGGTGTTTCGTCATCTGCGCCGTTAAAGATGCCTTTCACAGTCTGCAACAACACGAACAAGCAAACACCTTTTTTCTTTATTTTACAATCTGCGATTAAAACTATATTGCCAAGCGCGTCCCTGAGCGAGCGCGTACGTGGCCGCATGGTTACCGTGCTTGGCTGTCGCACGGAAGGTCTGGGTTCGGTTCCAGGCAGTGGAATGTTCTTTTATTTATTCTTTCTACTTAGCGTTCTCGCAAATTCGAGAACTTTCTTGTCTGATCGAGTTACGAATGTTCTATGCGCCGAACCTTCTAGGCCGATTGTTCCAGAAGCCAACGCGTGTACATAAAAGGCTCCGCATGGCGATCCGCAGACAGTCTCGCACCAGCGTTCGATCCTGTTGTTATCTTCCGTTCTCTTTTTATTTTAGGCACAAGTTCGCCCCATTAAACTTTTAGTTTGTTTAAGTTTTTGTCGCCTCATCAATTGTCATTCGTGACAATATTGTGCCTCATCCTAGCGTGTAAAACAGCTAATGCAACAAGCGCGACGTCCTTGCTTTCCCTACATAATTGGGGTATGTGGTAACCATGATGTTTGGAGGTAAAATGCTGCAATTTGCACCCATTTATTTCCCGAGCGCTGGCAATCACTGAAATGATCCTGCGTTTAGGTGATTGATTTGTTTTGTTGTAGCGCTCAGTCAAAACCACCTTTGTGGCTGTGTTTGAAGGAGAGAACACCAGCCACTCGCTAGAATGTTTGGGCATGCAGAAGTAGTGAGTAAAGTGATTACATTTTTGGCCTTTCATTTATTTGGGATACCAAGAGAGCATTCTGGCTCCCTTTGTGGCACTTGACATTGTTATTTGGTGAAGAGCTCCAGAGCGTTATTCCCAGATTTGCCGAGTTGCTATTTATTGTTTGACCGATGCTGACTGCCAATTCGTTAAACAATGTGAAGGGCTTTGCTTAGTCTAATTTGAAGCCGAAACATTGTGACACAATAGTATGCATATTTATCAAAGTGGTGCAAAAAATACCTATAGTCCGTTGCAACCTGAGAACGAAGGGCGAGGGAAAGACGGGCCGGGGAGGAGGAAGCAGACGGAACGCTAAAGAGAGGAGGTTTCCCCCTCTCTTCTCCAGCGTTCCGTCTGCTTCCTCCTCCTTTGGCCCGTCTTACCCTCGCACTTCGTTCTTGAGTTGCAACAGACTATAGTTCAAGTACTGCCAAACATCTAAATAACACTTGTTAAAAAAATATGTATACTTTGAATCATTAACAATGCACTTTTTAAACACGTGGCAACCTCCTGGTCTGCAATCTTATGTTTCATTAAGGCAAAAGGTTTCGCACAATCTTAATTTTCTCGTAACACTGCCTTTAATTTTTTGGTCACGTTGCGATGCACCAACTTGGCAGTCAATAAATTTTAAGTAGCTTGTACTTCTGTTGAAACATATCAGCTTTTATATATCTTAAACCAGCCATATGTCGCCGTGACTTCAGTACTTCGCATTGAAAACGCCAAAAAGTTTGGTCATGCGAAGACATCAATCACAGGTAGAAAATATTAACCAGTTTCTTTTAGATGGCAAAATTTATTTCCACAAGATATTAAGAAAAGCGACATACTGACAAATTCGCGAAATACGAAACCATTGAATTGTGCTTGACTACTGTTTCAACAGTGTTAATGTGATCAACAATCAAACAATAATGCAAATAAAATTAATCTTGCATCAAACACATTTCCCGAGTTGCCGCCAAATAAAACATTCTGTATACATATAGATGTAAAAATTAGTAACGGCAGACAGGATCTAGTCAATGTTAATTACAGTGATCAGCACCCAGAGACAGAAGTTAACATGGGATTATGTTGCGCAAGTGCCTGCTGCATCAGAGTGCATTTGATTGATTATCGAGGATATGCCCAGAACATTGTGTCCACAATACCAAAGGAACAGCTCGGTTCTACCTCAGACAAACCACAGTCGCTAAGTTTTTAATACATGTAAGGATATAAGCAGTCAAACAAGCCAGCGCCGTGTTTAGAAGTTAGCAACGAGAAAGGGAGCAGAGGCAGACGACGCACCGGCGCTGACTATCGTTCGACTATGGCACCTCCTACACATGTGCTCACGGCCAATATTTAAAACTGTATGTACGCCACTGGCACCACTGGACGACATAAGAGAGCTGAGAGGGCCGTTCCACCTTCCCCGAGGTCTGGAGGATGTGCAACAGACTTTCAACTCTTTTAGTCCCAGGATGATTCTTTAGGACAACTGAGTGGTAACATTTTCAACTGCTTACAAAGCGTAAACAATAGTGACATTTTTGCAACGTGCACATTGTGCTCTTCACACACGTCAAAGTTCCAGCACATTTCTAGCTCAAAAATGATAACAGTTCTGGATCTAGCTGCTACGGAAAAGCTAAAAAGAAAGCAAGAGAGGTATGTCGTACGAAGCGTCGATCAAACCCTCCCCAATCATCCCAACTGCAATAATCTACAGGTGGTCTAGCAGAACACCGACAACGGTTGGCCCAAGGGAAATAAAGACCCAAAGTGTGCGCTCCAAACCCTTCCAACAGCGTTGACTCGACTGCTTACCTTGGGGGAATATTGCCCATTTTCTTCGGTGATCACCGGGTTGCTAGCACCTTGGTTGTTGCTACCGAAGCAGCACAGGAGGGTGTTCAGGAAGCCTCTTTGCCTGGGCTTTTTGCTGGCCGGGACAGGGGCTGGAACACACAAGGTCACAACTGTGGCGACGCAACCAGACAAGTCCTTGCAACTCTGGCATGGTAACAACAAAGTGCAGCAGTTTCCAGGCTGCATACCTCCGGTAGGTACCTCTGCCAACTCCGAGGACAGCTTTATTCCTCATCCTTCGATTCCTTCCCTTGCTCACGTGGCTTCCTAGACCTAAACTACTTATGAGCTTTCTTTTACGAGCAAGCCCTTACACAGGCACCCCTTTTTGGGTGTGTCTGACCACACTCGCTTCAACCACCTTCCCAGCATGCAGCCTGATGGGCACAAGTCCATCTGTAAGAGGTGGCAGTATGCTGCAAGTGGCACAACCCTTCAATGCAGCATAGTCCTATCTGGCTATAGAACTCATTCCGGGACTAAATGTCAATTAACTCTAACTGCAGACCAAGTGCAGCCAAAAATTATGCTTTATAACTTTCATAGTTCCCCCAACCCTATGTAAACCATTTGAAATGTCAAGATAAACTATATCCATTTTCATTTCAAGAAAAAAGCAAGTTTCGCGCATTGTTCATACGCACTGTGAAGTAGTTCTTACGAAATATGGTTGTCGGAGGAAAAAGCGATGCTTTTTGCGCTTGGAACGGTACGTCTTGATAAGGTAACATATATCTAAACTAAAATTCCTTTACACAAATTTTAATTCTCCACATAACGCGGGAAATTAGTAACATTCCGCGAGGAGTCAGACTTTTTTTACTACGGTTCTTTAGGTGAAAAGGGGTATTAGCCCCGAGAAGTTGGCGTGGCGCCCCCTTACGACGAACCGGGGTGACGTCACGGCGAGGAGAGAATTTTTCCCCGACTCGCCCCGCTCGGCCTGTGGAGGCTGTGACGACGCTAGCTGTCGGCGCGCTCGTTTCCATTTCATTTTTTTTTGGCGTGTCTTTTGTAGGAAGTGTAAATTTTTATATGTGCCTTTATTGAGGTGTGGCCTGTAGCTACATGTGAAACTTCAACCAACATTTTGAGCATGCTTGACATGGCAGGCAACGCATGAATCGTAGCTGGTACATGAAAATAAAGAAATATGGCCACAATTGCAGGAGCATCATTATAGATTTACATCTCGCACAATAAATGCTGTTGATGGTCTGAATGAGTTGGCAGGTTATGTATACTACTTTTTTTTTGTATCTCTGCTTTTAAACAAGATCGCCGAAGCAGAAAAGCTGCATGCTGCTCGAGCGATACGCTAAATATACAGTCTAGGCCATGGGGAGAGAATCACAAGTAAGACAGCCCAAGTTTAGGGGCAAAGTAAAAAAAACAAGGAACATTTATTATATACATTGCTCGCATTTAAGCTTTGCTGGATTCGGATAGTATTTCAAAGGACTACACGGGTGGTATTTGTGAACTTGTTTATATCAACCCTCAAGAAATGTATAACAAACGTAAGCGAAGATGTCTAGCTCGTTATTAGTCTCTTAAGCCCTAAATATGAGACTTTACTTAAATAGAACTGCCCTGAAGCTAAAGTACCAGAAGCTTTTCTCACGCAGACTGTCGGCCTTCACAGGTGCCACATTTTCTGCTACTAGTGCTGCATCTACTATACTGGAGAGACGTTCGAGTGCTTGCTTTTACTCCTGTTTTCCTCTGTTGTCAGAGACTCCAGCTGTAGGGAGTTTGGAGGCTGAGGAAGCTTTTGGCCACCTGCAGCAGTCTCTTTTAATTGGAAATGACAATTCAGACTAAACGGTGTATTTTTTTTTTAATACCCAAGGCTGGAATAAAAATGTCCGGAAAAAGTATAACCATTCCAAATTACGGCACTATCGCTGTGCCTATTTTGGGCAGTTCAATACATCTCACACAGGCAACTGGGGGCAATTCGGCCGTTTTTGCTGCTACCATACAAACTAACTTCCAGTAATTGTGCATCTTCTAAGAAATAAGCCTGAATACGTGTATAAACCATATAATTAATTCACGAAGAAGCTACATTTATGTAAAACAACCCCGTTCCACGTGCGCTTCAAAGATCATCAGACGCAGGGCCTTTAAAGCACCTGCGAATCAGCGCATGCAGAGTGGCAGCGCAAAGCCGGGGTCGCGAGCGAATTTGCCGACCACCCAAAGGCCCTTGATATAAATGCCACTTCAAATGCCTTGAAAGCGGGATGTAATATCGTCCTAAATCATGAACCTGGAAGGGACAGAATTCCAGCGTCTGAAACACTTGCGCCACCGCTCCACCGATCCTTCGCAAAATTGTCTTGTGTCGTGTGGACGGGCGTGGAGGTTCATCGGCGGAATTGTCTCCGCCGATGGCTTTCGGGATTTGTAACCCAATTTTAAAGGTAAAAGAGACAAGCAGGCTTATAAAATGTACGGAAGCACGTCAATATCGGCCTAACTCAACGTCTTGTACACCGGGTACACGAAGTCCAGCTCCTCGAAGAGTTTGCGGCACACAACGCCAAACCGGGAAACCGGTGCTGGGAAGCGAGCCGATGCGAGGTCGCGGAGCTGAGTACTCCCCCTGACGTCACGGTACACCTCACCCAATCAGGGCGCTGCGACCGCAGCGACGCTTGTGTTCGCTCTCGGGGCTAATAGAAGTACAACAAGGGTAACAAGATCTTATCACACACAAAACTGGCACCTGTGCAACCCCCCTCCCTTTCCTTCCAAAATCTCTCACTTTAGAAGGCTGGTGGGCATTTGACTGTACAAAGTTTTAACGAAATGCCGGCTGGCCAAAATTTTCACGTAAATTTTTATTCCACAAAAACAAGATTGGTACCATGTTAGTCGCAATTAAGGGCCTTACTGAGGTACACTGGGGCAGGTGCATAGGCCTTAATTAGTTTTCTATATGGAACTCTTAAATTAGTAAAAATAAAAACATACCGTAATATATGGAGGGATACCCCACCCCCAAAAGACAGGCCGCCCCCTTCTTTGCCACGATTCCCAATGTTTGTCAAAAACACCGAAAAATAGCCCACTTCTAGTAATTGCAGGGCGCCGACCAATGGTGACCGCAGCGAAAACAGTATTACTTAACCACAGTGGGAAATAAGGGAACACTGCTGACTGGGAAGGACAGTCTTTGGTTCATCGTCCCTCCCTGTGCTCAAAGTTTCGCGAGTCACAAAATCTAAAACCAGCATTTTTTCAACTTTTTTTTTTCTTTTTTATGGCACACCGAAAGTTAGTTTACTGCTTGTTTTCATTGATTCGCTATTCGTCAAGATCTTAGGGTAGTTCAACTGAAAACCTGTTGGGCATCATCAAAACCCACTCAACGAGACAATTTTATGAATGTTTGGAAAGCATGCTTAGTTTTTCCAGCTCTTTAAATGCATCTAACTTGCATATGATGCAGTTTTTCCATTTCTTACCCCCATTCTCATGGTTGCTCCTCCTGCCTTGCACCTTGCATCCCAACAAGAAACTTTTGCGCACCATCATGCTTCCTACACGCTCCGTTTCTAAAATTTATAGATATAGTGGATTTTGATGATGCCAGTTAACAAAATTATATGCTTATTTTTTCCAATCAGAAATTATACGAACCAATTAAAGGCTATATGCAGTCACGGAAAATATGAAAAAGCCCAGGTGAGCACGTGGCTTAGAAGGCCTGCGGTTGTATCGGAAGAAATCTATACCAATATCAATGTTCCGGGGGGCTCCAATATTTTTTTTTTGTCACATCTCGCTTGCCCAGCTGTTTCCGAGACTGACTGCAGCACCTAATGTAGAGGCATTCCACCACAAAAAGGCAAAATCAATCGTGGCAGAAACCACAAGTCGGCAAGTTGAGCGACCAGCTTTCGGGCGTTTTATTAGTTTGCATGATAAAAAAACAATATTTTATTTCATCGAGCAGGCAAGTTTGATGCAAAAGCAGTGCCAAAATCAGTGTTGACACGGCCGTCATTTGCCGGGCAAGTGCGGAGAAAGGACGAAATTCGGCTTGTGCACACAGCCGACTTGATGATAGCCTCTTCCATCAACTGGAAGTGTACAGGGCATGGAGCTTGCTTGGGCTTTTTCATATTGTAACTGCTTAAATAGGCCCCTTGGCGGTGTCTAGTAGGACATTAATACTTATTCAGCACAGTGTGTACTTCTTGCGGGATACCTTCGGCTGGCGTTTGATGCAACACTCTTCATTACTGCTGTTTGAACAAATGACACTACAACTGAATTGTGATGACGAGAAGCGGTTTCCATTGCACACCTTTTGTAGCACGTTCTGTAGCAGGCGTAATATTGGTTTGGAGCAAATGCTGACATCTCTTAGCACATCCCTTGAAAATGGATGATTGATTGCATTGCTAAACGAGTTCATCCATGGTAATGATAGAGGGTTCCTCTTTGATGCTGGAGCATGTTATTGTAATAAGAATGGATAGGGTGCAAAAGAAATGCAGGGCCTTCTTAGAAATAAGGCTCAGGTCAGAGTAGCTTCCATTTACAATGGGTATTAAAGATATTGTTAAAACAATTAATCCTAGCACAACACTTAAATTAGGATGAAGCTTCTCTTCCCTACCCGTTTACACTCGGTAGTTTATTTAGCCTGTAAGTATTTCTGTAAAATGCCAGCAAAAACAGCATATCCACTAAAACATTTATGAAAAAAAAATGTGCCACCAATTTTTATGAGCCTACCAAACTCAACTCGTATCATAAACTGCAAAAACAACCACCCACAAATAGTATTAAATCCTACACTTGCACTTTAGAAGTAGCACTGCTCTTCAGCAACGTCGGAACCAGAATTAAGTCAAATTTCGCTCCTCTTTCGATCAACAGCTGCACAGGAACTACCTTGACTACCGTATTTATTCAAAAATACACCCGTCTTTTTTCTTCTTCTCGACACAGCTTTTTAAAATTAGAAATTACCATACAATCAATACCAAAAAAGGTCGACCGGTAATAATCCTGAGCATCATTTCCGTGCCCATCGCGCAAACCATGGCACTCCCTATATGAGCCGCTG